ACCCATCAGCCACGCCTCCCCACAGCACCACGCCCACATCCATCAGCCACGCCTCCCCACAGCACCACACCCACACCCATCAGCCACGCCTCCCCGCATCTTCATGACCCTGACATGCCCTCCCCACAGCATCACGCCCATATCCATCAGTCATGCCTCTCCAGGTAACCACACCCCATCATCCCATGCCACGCCCCCAAGCATCCCACAGCACACCCACACCCACTGGCCACACCCTCCCGGTATCCAGCCAAGCTCGACATCACCCTCACTCCCTGGCCTCTGTGTCCTAGAGACGGGTGGAGTTTGGCATACTGCGGTGGGAAGCCTACAGCCAGCTCCCGGCAGGTGGGAGGTCTCGGGACATTTATTACCTGGGAGGATCTCAGCACACTGGAGATCCAGGGGTCACCCGGGTGAGGGGGGGCAGACGGCTGCCCTGGGCACAGGTGCGGGACCCTACAGGAACAGCAGGGGAAACTGAGGCCTGGGGTTTCGGGGGTCACTCGGGAAAAATTCTCGTCCCTCAACTTCGAACTTTTTCTTTTTCTGCCTCATTTTCTCTCCTCTCTCCTGGGACTTCCAATGACAAGTATGTTAGATTTTTCGATTGTGTCTCACATCTGCTCCTTTTGTTTGTTGGTTTGTGTCTCCACTTTCTGTTTCTGTTGGGAATTTCCTGTACCTATCTCTGATGGCACTAATATATCTTTTCTTGGTCCCATCTGTTGAGGTCTTAATTACATTTTTTTTTTCAGTTGTAAAATATCCAATTTGATCTTTTTTCTTTCCCATAGTCTTCAGTTCTCCTCTTCTTTTTTACCCTTTTCCTCTGATTTTTATTTCTGCAGTTACTGTTTTTAACAGTAGTTTGCTAGCTTCGGTATTTGATCATGTGTATTATTTCCCCTCTGATCTGTCATGTTTTTCCTGCCTGCTCACTTGTCTTGTTATTCCTGATTCTGTTTTGGACAGTGTGTGAAAGACAAGGGGGGTGCTGAAGATGTCATTGTCCCTTAGAAAGGGTTCTTCTGCCCCTGTCATAAGCAGACAGTCCAGACTGGAGTTGAGCTAAGTTGGGCTGGTTAGATTTGGTTAGAGTTATTCTATTTTTTATTTCAAAACTGTCTAGGAAAAAGCCACCTGTAATCCAGCTACTTGAGAGGCTAAGATCTGAGGATCACGGTTCAATGCCAGCCCAGACAGGAAAGTCCGTGAGACTCCTATCTCCAATTAATCACCAGAAAAGCGGAAGTGGCGCTGTGGCTCAAAGTGGTGTAGCATTAGTCATGAGTGAATAAAGCTCAGGGACAGCACCCAGGTTCTGAGTTCAAACCCCATCATCGGCACACACAAAAACCCTCCAGGGTGAAATTTGATGTATATTCTGTCAGCCCTTCTCTCTAATGACACATGTTTGGAAGAGATGGAGGCTATTATTTTGTTTTTGTTTTGTTTTTTGCCAGTCCTGGAGCTTGAACTTTGGGTCTGAGCCCTGTCCCTGAGCCTCTCTGTGCTCAAAGCTAGCACTCTACCACTTGAGCCCTAACACTACTTCTGGCTTTTTCTATGTATGTGGTACTGAGGAATCGAACCCAGGGCCTAATGCATGCAAGGCAAGCGCTCTACCACTGAGCCACCTTCCCAGCCCAAGGCTGTTTGTTTTTAAGATCCCAGACTGAGGAACTAGACTGCAGAGGTAAAACACCCTGGCTCTCCTGTCAGGATGTTGTTTACAAAGGCATGTGGCGCCTGCTGTAATCTAGCACTTGGGAAGCTGAGGTAGGAGGACCTCAAGTTTGAGGTGAGCCTGGGCTATACTACATAGTCAGACCCTGTCCGAGAAAAACAGCGGGGGCGGGGGGTGGGGGAATCCTACCTCTGCAATTTACTTTACCACAGACAAGCAACTTAACCTTTCAGTACCTCAGTTTTCTTATC